GCCAAGCTGTGTCAAGATCCCAGTGTGGCTGGGATCTTGCCCTGGTGTGTCCCTGTTCCAGTCACAGGCTCTCAACAGTTGAAACAATATTTTGTGGAAACCAGAATGTGTCTGAACTCTTGTGGCATTTCCTCTTCATATACCTAGTCCTTTAGCCCTTCCTGGGCTTCTGGGACAGAGTCCTCCTCTCTTTGGTGCGAACAAGATGTGCTAGTAAAACAAGTTTTGAAAAGATACGGACAGTGGGAACACCATGCCAAAAAATCACAATGGTGTGTTCACCTTGCGTGTACCTTAACTGTTTTAAAATCAGGTTAACTGACTGGGTTTATTGATAGTAGTTGCCATACCAATACGTGGGTTCTCAAGAGCATCACCAGCAAAAACCTTTTCTTGTGCTCACTCTTGGGGCAGGGTAGCAGCTAATGGATAACTCTAAAATTGGAAATAAAATGACCTATTTATGAGGAAAGTTGATAGAATTATATCTAAAGATTTGAGATTGGCTTCACATTGCCTTTCATACAAAGCTAGAGGAGTACTGTGATAAATTTCTAATAGAACAAAACTAGAGAGACAAAAGGTTTGTACAAAAACTGCTGGGTAAACCTCACCTGCTTTAACAAAACCTTTTCTTCTTGTGGCAAAACTGCAACCTTTATTAACAGATTTATACTGATTTAATTATTTTGACAGTGGGGTTTGGTGCAGGATGCTCATGCAGGTGTACGTGTCAGCTGGTTCCTATTTCTGGTCTATTGTCTTATGAAGCTTGCCCAAGGAGAGTTATTAAAACAATAAGGGAACTTCTTAAAAGTTAAGTTTTTTTCAAAGACAGGAGGATCTGGGTTGTGTAGTAGCACTCCTATAAGGGAATTATTCTCAACTGGCACTACTAAACTTGCCCCACATTTAACAAGACACAGAAATACGACACTCTAAGCATGTATACAGATAGAGATGTATTTTTCCCTGGAGTAATGGGGGGGAAATGGCTGTTACAAAGCTCAATAATGCTGGTGCCACTGGCCCAAACAATAAGGCACAAGATGTCCGCTTGAATTCTTGGATTTACTGGATTAAAAAATAACTGTGATGTCAAATCACAGAGAACTGTTAGGAAGGAAGCTACATATGCTCTCATCTGTATTTGCATTTTCACCCAGGCCCAGTCAACAGAATTGTTTTACTTACTAAGTTACTCAGTGATTTCGGTTTTGGTGTGATGTTTGGTTTTTATATTTAAATCAGTACAGTCCTAATGTGTCTCCATTTAAGGTATTTTGCAACTATCAATGCAGGAGATAGCTCTTCTCACTAATTCAGCTGCTACAAAGGGAAATGACACAGATGCACAACACCTTTTACTGGTAGTACTACACACACTGCACCCTTAAAAAGTTTTCTTGATTCATGCATACTTTATACAAACATATGTTATATAAAGTAATACAAACACATGTACAAAAAAGCTTGTAAAACATGGAGAACCATTCCCTTCCAATGTACATGCAATAATGTGAATTTAGCAATTTACATACAGCAAGTTTCCTGCTCTTTTTCCTTTCTAACACTCAGAATATAGGAAGAGAGGAAATTAAGCCACAAAAGCCATTAGTGAAATCAACAGATTTTTGAAAAAAAAAAAAAAAAAAAAAGGCAAACAAATATTTGAAAGCATCCTTTACTCATGGACCATGAATCATCTCTTTAAAAGTCAATTAGGCAAAGCTGGAAAATTCTACAATGAACAGGACACGTTTTCGTCATTCAGTAGCAAATACCAAAGTTTTGCCAAGCACTTACACACATTTTTAAAGTAATATTCCTAACCCTTCTGAAGATGTATACATGTTTTGAAGGGAATTTGCTGTATTTTCAATAAATGATTGTTTTTCTCTGGTATTAATACGGGATTAAAGTAATCATTCTCTCTGCTATGAAATACCTAGGGAAAATTCTCAGTTTTGCAGTATACTGCATGTAAATACCATATCAAGTGATGAAAACACTTACTTAAGTCTTGCTACCACATTTCTGAAGAATTACTCTAAAGGAACAGTTCTGCTTTCTTCTGTAAACCCAGTGGCATAGTGTCATCAAATGAACAAAAAGTGAAACTCCTGAGCTCTCACTAATTATAAACTTAAGTCAAAGGATCTCTTTCTAAAAATTAAGGATGGCATGATTTACACTTGTAATGGACTGCTGAATACTGTTCATCATCAAAAAGAAGCCCATAATTTGTATTGCTAACCCAGAATTTCAATATGAAATATTTTTCTGTTCATTTTGTCATAATGCCAGAAAAAAACAACTATTGTGAATATGATTATTTGAGAGACACAAAAACAAATGACAAAATATGGATTTCTGTAATACATATTTTTGAGCAGTAGTTACGGGTACGATTTTTTTACAAACTAGGATGAGTCTTCCAGTTTCGGTACACTGTGCTTGCGCAAAGACCGTAAAACAGCCCTTAAGATCTGCTAATGTAGAGAAGAAAAAGGACAAAAGAAGAGTTCTGTTTTATAGCTGGGAAACTTCCACACTGAGGATTGAGACTTGTTTTTCAGGAAGGAGGGACAGATCTGTGGTCTCTAAAAGTTACTGTGTGTAATGCGTCTTTTTTAAAGCTTTGTGCATGTTTCATCAGTACTGATTTACCATGACTGTCACTTGATTACAGAAAATTACAGTACTGGAAGGGCCCCTGAGATGCCATCTTAGTCAACATTCAGATTCCTGCAGCCAGCCACAACGGCTATGTGGACCATCAGGCTGTTTTAAAAAATCTTCTCCACCTGAGATGCAACTTCATCTTCTGCTGTGTGCAGGGACATAAAAGCTGTGATCTAAACACACACAAAATAACTTGCACTTCATAGAAGAATGTCATGTACTGCCACAGATACTGATGTACATGCGCTTTCCTTGGGTTTCCTTGAGGCTGGTGACACCAGAAAATGTAATTATGAAAATGAAATAAATCCGTGTCAGATACGCAAAACCTCTGCAAAACACTTACACAGCATGAATACAAATTGACATACCAGAGCTATGAGACAATGCTAGAATCAGAGGATATCATTACAACATTGAACTGTTAATCACAGCTCAAAATAAAACAGGTTTATTTCATTGATAAAATCACAACAGGGGGACCTGCTCTACCTCTTCCAACATTAAGCTGGTACTTTCTGTCCTAACGTACATCTTCTGGGAGCTGACAGACGATTCATCTAAAGATAAAAAAGAAACTTCAGCATAGTGACTGCTCCTTATGGCTAATGATTAATGTTATCAGGAACTCAAACACTGATACCCACAGTAGCCGCCTGCCTGCCCACCTCAGCAATAATCTGAATAACTTTTTCTAGGAAGAAACACCAGCGTTTGAGTAGTTCACACTGCAGTGGTCCTAAGCAGGAGCCAAATGGGAAGAAATCAAATACCTAAAACTCATGCTTCGCCGTTACTGAGGGGTCTAAAAATAGACAGACTTGGCACAAAGATGCGGGAGATTTCCTGTTCAAAACGGGGAGTCCAGGAAAAACTGAGATGCCCATGAAAAAAACATGCTGATTAAAAAATAATTACGTCACGGGTTCCTCAGGATCTCACCAAAGCCCCTGCGGGCCGCGGCGGGGGGCGCGCACGGACCCGCCGCTCCGCACTCGTCCCCCCCGGGTCCAGCGCCCCCCGGCACAAGGGATGTGCAGGCGCGGGGCTGGCGGGCGCACCTCGCGGGGTAAGTGAGGGCAAAAGCGAGCCCGCGTTCCCCCTCCAACATCCCCCCTTCCCTCCTGGCCTCTTCCCCTCCCACATTTTCATTCCCCCATCCCCTCCTCGTCTTTCCTCCCTGCCTATTCATCTTCCCTACTAGCCTTTCCCCGACCTTCTTCGCATCTCTATCGACCCCCCCCAACACACACACCTCCCGCGCCACGCTTCAGCCCCCGCCTCAGTCCGTCGCCGTCCCCTCATTTCCACCTTTGCCGGCTGCAGCCCGCCGAGGGCCAACTTGCCGGAGCCGCAGCCGCCACCGCCGCCTTCCTTCCCGCCGGAGCCGCGCTCACACACACAGACCAGACAGACAGTCAGACAAGACAGGCTGGCAGGAGGACGCGCAAACACGCGCGCAGCCCCGAGCGGAGGTACCTCTCCAAGGCGCTCCCGCTCCTCCGGCGCGCAGCGTGCACCGCCAGCTCCAAGCGCAGCCCCGGTACGCCGGGTGCCTCTTCTTCCTCCTCCTCCTCCTCCTCCTCCCCTTCCCTCTTCGCCCGCCCCCTTCACCGACGCCAGGAAGAGGTGGCTAACCCGCCGGCCGCCCCGTAGCCGCCCCGCCCCGCTTCGCGTTGTCCCACCTCGTCCCGGTATGGCTGGGTACCGTCCCGCGGGGCGCTGCGCCCCCGCGGACCCTCCGCGCATCCTCCCCCCCGCGCCGCGGTCGGGTTACCCGGCCGGCTGCGAGCCCTCTCCTATTACGGGAGCCCGCGCCGCGCAGGGCCGGAGGGCGGGAGCGGAGCCCCGGCGGGAAGCAGCGCGGCCCCGCGGCCCGCCTCCGGGGCTGTGCGGCGTGAGCTTCCTGACCGCGGCGCCGGGGGTTTCCGAGGGCTTCCGCGGGGTTTTGCTGCTAATCGGTGATATGTGGGTTTGGGGGTTTTGGGATTTTTATCTTTCCGGTTTTTGTTTGTTGGGGTTTTGTTTGTTTATATAAATACATAAAAATATATCGAATATAATTTTTATATATATATATATATATACACAAAAATGAATGTGACTTCCTTGGGTCCAAATGCGCTTGCAGCATTCCCAGTAGGCTGTGGCAAGAATTTCCACTGGTTTGTCACCCCCCCTGTGAAGAACCTCTGCCTTTTATTTTTGGTTTCAGTAAGAACTTTACTATGCCCTCAGCTCCTGTGCTGGAGATGAGGAACAGGTCCTAACCATCTCGTTGAACTGCTCATGAGTTTGTAGACCTCAGCTACATCACTCCTCCTGGCTCAAGAGTTTTAGGCTCCTCAAGAAGGCGCTTTGTCCATAGACTATCCTGTACCTTTTATCATCAAAGATGCCCTCTTGAATGTCAGCCTGATCTAATAGATCCTATTTGAGATTAAGAAATACACAAGATTTAAGATGAGGACAAAACATGGATTCATATGGTGGCACAGTGTTATTTTTCTCTTAAAAGCTAGTATTTTATGAAAAGTTTTTGAGCACAGAGCTGATGTTTCTACAGAACTGTCTGTGGTAAACCTGAGATTTTGTTCATGCAATGATCAGCTCAGACTCTACTGTCTTACACAATTGTTTCATTATTAAGTGTCAATTCATACTTATCTACACTGAATTTCACATATTGTCCAGTCAGCCTCATAATGTCCTTGTGTAGTTCTTCAGTCTTTCCTCTTACTGCTAACTTAATACCACTAATGAACACTATTTCACTTCATTCTCTGGTGAGATATGAGTACACTGAACAGCACATGTCCCAGCACTGATCTGTGCAGAAGCCTACACCATTCAGCACCTCCCTCCGTTGTGGGAGCTGGTCATTTATTCCTGTACTTTGCATTTTATCTTCTAAGCAATTACTGAACTATACCAGGGCTTTCCCTCTTCTTGTTGTCAGTTCTTCAGTCTCCTTAAAAACCTTTGTCAAGAGCCTTTGAGAAACCCAGTCTAATGGAAATTAGATCACCTTGACCACATCTTTGTTGATCCTTTCAGAGACCTTCAAGATGTTTGTTTAAGGCAGGACTTTACAGCTGCAGTGTTGACTCTTCTCAGATAGATAGCATTAATCCAGGTGTCCTTTAGTTCTAACCCAATTAGCATCTCTCTATTTGCACAGAACAGGCATGAGGTTTGTGAACCTCTAGTTCTCCAGAGTCTGTATTGAAGTTTAGTGGCACATTTGCCACCTTCACCTCTTTAGGTGCCAGTATTTTAAATGGGAAGTTAAATGCTGCTGTGGATAACTCAGCTGCTGCATTCTCTGGTGAGAACTCAAGGACGTGGTGCTCACAGACAGGCACGTTGCTACCTGAATGTTGTGACAGTGAAAAGGCTTATAAAAAAGGTAATGGTATAAGGAAATAGATGCATACATACCTAAGAGTAGACCCGTAAGTCAGTGCTATTAATGAAAGTAAGAAGCTATCTTAGTGATTAACTGTATGTATCCATGACCTTCTTTGCAAACATGAATCCAAAAACACAGAGTATGGTACAGGCAAGACTCCTCCAATGTCTTTGACCCAGGAAGCTGTTGCCATACTCCATATCTGCTGCCGTCTTATTTTGTTTCTTTCATACTTTGCTGTAAATTCTCCAGATGAAAAATGGCCCTTTTTAATGCACATTTTTTACTTGACACTAGCATATGGCATGGGAAGGAAGAAGGAAGACCAACTCTGAGCAGGGGGTGTTTGAGCTGCACCATCTAGGATTGTTCCCAGGAATGTCTGCAATTCAGTTACCTACCCAAAGACAGGACTCCCTTTGTCTTCCTAGGATCCATACAGGTGTGTCTGGCATGTGCTAGAACTGTAGTATGGTTCCATTCAGCCCATTTGCAGGGAGCAGGCAGGGAGCAATGAGAAGCTCTGGCATCTGACTGAAGCAGCTATGCATGGGCATGCATCACTGCTCACACCCACCAGCCTGCCCTGCTGTCTCTGCTGCCACGGGTAGGTATGCTATCCAAATGGCAGTGTGGGGCTGCAGGGGAAAGAGAAAGAGGAGCATGGGGGTTGCATCCGTTTTGGGTGTTTCAGAGGTCTGACCATGTTTGTTGGGTTTTTAGAAACTTCAGCTGATAGAACAAGCCAATTATCAAAAGGAAAGGAGGGAGAAAAATATATCAGGCTTATTTAGTTGTTGAAACCTTCAGAACTATGCAGAAAGGTCTCCTCCAGGCCTTAGAAACATAATTAAAATAATCGTAGTCAGTCTCATGCTTTTTGAAGGTCTCAAGTTTTGGAGACTGGCAATACTGCACTGTAGAAAAAGATCTGTGATAACTGCAACCAAAGATGTTACACTGCCAACGGGGGAACTTCAGAGCTCCTCTTAGTGGGTTCCCACCCCTCTGCCCCTTTGTTCCAACAGTTACCTTCTGCTCCTATCCTGCTTACTGCCCTCATACAGGGTTGGACTGAACTGTGTGACTGCAGCATAGATTTTTTTCCATTAGATAAAGCAGTATCTAATGACGCTGATACTGTTTGAATTTTTATTTGCCTTTTTTTTTTTTCTTATGACAGAGATGCATTTACTTAGTAATAATTCAGGTAGCACATGACTAATATATCAGAGAGGAAATCAAATGTGATTTCACTGTGTGTATTTTAGTGAATTTTGCCTATTGGCTTCTAATTTTAATTTTCAACAGTAACAACAGCAGAAGAAAATTATCTTAAAGTTTGTTTTAAACATGTATTTTGTTAATGCTCTGTGATTTTTGAACAGTATTAGAGAGGGCTTCAGGTAGGGAGAAGAAGGAGTTAATCTTTGCCAGGGTGCAGCCTTCCCTAATTTTTGCTGTGAAATTAAAATATCTTTATCTAAATAATGAATTGTAAGATTAGTAGGTGTGGTCCCAAAATCTCTGAAAGTAGGAAATGTATAATGATCAGCTGCATTAAGCCAACTTTTGTCAATAAAGGTTGTTATTTTAAACATTCAAATGACAGTTCTTTGCCTGTCATTCCCTTTCAGGCCTGCTTTATGTGCCCTGTGAACTGAAAAGGGATATGTTACTCCGGGTATTACCTCATTCCTCCTCCAGTGACTGACAAACATACATCCCAAGGCTGTGCTGAACATGTAGGAAAAATTGAGAAAAAACAAATCCTGAGATTGTGTGACATTCTTGGGAAAGCTCAAGGAAGTGTGACTGCATGTCTGTACTAGTATTTGTAGGGACCTTCGAAGCTTAAGTTATTTTCCTATATACATAGGCTGTGAACAAGAGGACTAGTGCCACTGAAGTTAGTGGGAACTGCAGACACCAAACACCTCTAATAACTGGGCCACGTGGTTATGTGAGGCATTGTTATTATACAAAAAGGCTTTTATTTCTGCTCTTTTTTCTCTGCCACATAAGCTGACCTAGTTTACAATGTGCCTCTGTACAGATGCATGCTCTTCCATGGGCAGAAAGACGGCAGGCAGAGCCATTGCCAATGAAGAGTGCCTGGAGTTAGGAAGGGGAAGAGACACAGGCAGCTCAGGATGGTGAGATAAAGAGAAGGAAATGAAACACAAAGACATTTAAAGGAGAAGAGAGAAATGGAGAGAAGACAGTGAAGTCATATCCATATCTACTGCCCCTGAAATATCTAGGAGACAGAGGATTTACTCAGAGTCTTTGCTGGTATATTGGACCCTAGTTTCTGTGTGAGAGATTTTTATTTTCTTTTAACTGTTATACAGCAAACCTTCAAATAGAGAACAATTCACAGGGTGTACCTCTTCCTATTAGGAAGAAATTCCTTCAGGTGCTGTTTCACAGCCTAGCATACTGTTCTTGTTCTCTATGAACTCTTAAAGATGCTGAGAGTAGTGCAGAATAAAGAAAGGAAAAAATACTGTGATAATGATGCTGGATATATCAGGTGCTTTTACATTTATAAAATGAAATGTAGTCTTGAAAGATGATGCCTGATCTGGGAGCCTCCACACTGTGTATAAAAAATGGGGTTTGCTTGGGATGCAGAATTTTAAGTGTCAAGATTAGCTGTCAGAAATTTTGTGCTTAGATTAATTTTTCATTCTTTGTGATTCTGGTTACTTCTCTGACTGCAGAATAACATGCACATGAGCTGGCTGAGGGAATGCATTGGCTTGTGGTAATGCATGTGAGATGAAAATGGTACTTGTGTGTATTCTCTATGCATTTATAAAACTAATGAATGCAGAGATCCATCAGTCAGCAGAAGAGCTGTGGGAAGTTTGGAGGTCACATTCATAAATGCTTTATATTCAGTACAGGGATGAAATGTCAAGTATTACAGAAGTAGGGAGTTGCTGGTTGAGAAGTGACTGGAGATCCCTGTTCCATTCCTGGTGTTGCTGGTGATCTGAGATGTGACCAAATGCATATCACCTTCCCTTATATGTCTTTATGAGTTGATGAATTTTAAGACAGGGACTGCCTGTTAGTGGATGTTTGCAGAACATAACGGGACCTCAGCTGTGGTTGGGGAGTTCAAATACTAATGTAATACGAACTTAAATATTATTTTCTTAAGTTACTTAGCTGACTAACAGGCTCGTTTAGATACTTCTATTATGTGGTGAAATAGCTTGGCAAGATCTGTATCAGCAACTAGCAACATGAATAAACTCATTGACTTATATGTGACTCCTGAGTAAGTAACGTTTTAGTACTGGCTCCATAAACTTTTAGTCATCATTGGCTTACAAACTACATGCATAGCTGTGCCAGCACTTACCACACTGTGTAGACTATTTTACTGTCACAGTACTATTACTCTGTCACAGGAGTAATACCCAGTAGTAACTGTGTGTGTAATCCACACCCACGTGAAGCAGTTACGCTGTTCTGCAGTTGCAGAAACAGTCCAGTTTCATTGGCATTATGTTCTCTTCAGTTCATGGGAACTGTTAGTTCCCCTTCATGAGAAATCCAAGGAAATATTCACTCCCTGTGATGCTGTAAGGAATATTGGTTTTTAATTGCAGCTCATGGGGATACCGCTGCATAACTGACTCATGGTTCTTCCTCCTTCTTCTGGAAAACGCAGTCATTGCAAATCTGGGGCTCTGAGATGTCACTTAAAGCTCTTTACAGTCTTACTCCAGATAATGTTTCTGCTTTGATTACTCCTGCCTTATCTTACTCTTTTGGTACCCTCTTCCACAAGAGTTCCCATATCTTTCCCCTGCTGTGGGCTTTGTGTCTCCTTTCAGTCTGTTACTTTTCCTAAGCACATGAGAAAAAAAAAATCCATTCAGTAGTATCCCTCAAAACTCTACAAATCCCTCTTTTAAGTCTGTTTCATCAGTAACATCAACAGAAGGCAGTCCTGAAAGATGGCTCACCCGTGTCCAGCTTGCCTGACTGAGCCTGAGGATCAGCAGGGACAGGGAGTCTATATAATTTTCTGACTTACTGTGTGCATAGGAGGAGCTATATAAATATAGCATTACTTTTTGCCACAGCTTTACATGTTCTACGTTTACGTCAACAGCTGGGGCAAGATAATCACAGACTACAGTACTTCAACAATTATGAACAGTTGCATACTGTTCCTCCAACTGAACAGGCAATGCAAAAAAGATTTGAAGAGCAATCATTATTTTAGAAATCAGGAGCTCTAGCTCTGTAACTCTTCTGTACAATACTTGAATAGCAGATTCTCACAAAGAGCATTTGTTTGTGAACTAAGGAGCTTGATCCAAAGCCCAGTGGAGGCTCTTCCAATGCATTCGATGAGCTTTGGATTAAGTCCTTCCTGAGGAACAGATGCAGCATTTTATTCACTGCCACTAGAACAATAAAAATGACAAGACAAAGAATAAAGTTGTTTACAGAGAATAAAGCAGTGTTGTCCTGCAGCAGCTTAACTACATTAGGCTCTATAAATAAAAGAAAGTCCTATAGAGTTAGTAAAATTGTTTGTGTAGCAGAAATATTTAAATATCTCCCCATATACACCCAAACACAGTGTATTTCACTGAGTATTCAACTTCCCAGTATTTGCAAGGACTGAGTTAATAAACATGACTACAAATTCCAGTTGCGCAAACAAAGATAACACAGAAGTAGTTTGTTGCCATTAATCATCAAAACTGCAATGGAAGAGCGAGCTGGCATTTTTTTTAATGTCATGGCTTTTAGATGGATCCTAAGTGTTTTCTAAGACCTCGACTAGAGACAGGCTTCCCTTAAGTAAGTTTATCTCATTTAACATAATAATTTCTTATCTGGCCTGTAGATTTTATCAAAATGCAAGCAATAATGAGTGTTGAGGAGCAGAGACATTTGCCCCTGCAGGAAAAAGTGGGGCCAGTGTCACCCCAGGAAAAAGAGCCGACAAGGGAGATAAGCAGCTGTGGGAGACACAAGGGACCAGACTGAAGCAAAAGTGGCAGCAAATGAAAGAACAATTAGCAGAAACTAATCTGGGTGGGAAACTTTCAGCAGAGACGAAATATGGAAGAAATTTGATCAGAGGCTTTCAAGACGTCTGGGTAGATCCTGTAAAGACATCTAGTGGGAGAGAGAGGGTGCAAGCAGCAGACAAAACAGGATGGGCTTTTTTAAACACCTTCATGGATTTATGTAGGAAGAGAATCAAAAGTGGACAAATACTATTATACAAAACTGTGCCTGTAACTATTAAAAATAATACCATTTAAATTTTACCTGCTCATATTTAAATGTTCATAGCTTTTTCATCTCACAAGTAGCAGCATCAGAAACAAGACAGTATTCTTAAATACTTTGCATTATCACACAAAGCAAACACAGTGCTTACTTCAGTTCCAAACATTAACTAAATGCAGAAAGGCACATTTTGTCATGCCATCTTTTTCTGGAAGTTTGACACAGGTGTGCTCAGAGAACTATGAAGAAGAGAAATGCTTCTGTCTTTGCTTTTACTCCCACATGGGGAATCCTGTCAGCCTCCATGGACTGAAATCACTGCTTCACAGAAGAACAGCAAAACCCTCTTACCATACTCTTAATATTTCCACCTATATATTGGTCTTAAGGAGTGGTCCTGCATGCTCTTCATATCTTTTGATCTTCTAAGTTTTGCACACTGAAGTACAAATCTCCAGCAATCAGACTGCCTTCTCCACACATTTTACCGAGCCCTCCCTATATTCAAGACTGGATGCTTGTTCCTTCTAGTGCTACTGCACAGTGGTGTTAGATGCCTCCAGTTGGGATGTGTCATTTGCTGTAGGGTGGATGGCAACACTAGAAATCGGTAAGTGAGAAAACAGATCCTACCTGAAGGTCCTCAGAAAGTCAGAGACAAGTGGGTCATAGTCAAAACAAATTATTTGTCCCATGACAAAAAATGTTTTCCTCCTCAAACAACATATTTAAGTTTTCAAAAGATGCATCCTTTTCTCGAATTAGAAAGACAGCAGGCCCAATCCCTAAACCTGTGGCCAGCCTGAAGAACTGGCTGTCCCTGCAGTAAGCTGACGTCTTAGCTTCACTGCATTTTCTGATCATCAGAAGTGAAATCAGGCAAAATGAAAGTGTAATGAGGTGATAAGACAAGTTGATTGTAGGCCTGCTAATTAAAAATACACAGTATTCTCTGTGGAAATCCAGCTCTGCACTATGAAACTGCTATGTGTTTCAATGTCCAGCTCACATACTGTAGGAGCAGGCAATCTCATTTGTCTTCATATATGAAGGTAGGTGGGCATGTTTTACACAGGCACCACAGCTTGGGAGTCTTGTTACTTTGCTTTGGCAGTTTCCGTGCAGAGCCACAGAAATAAAATTACAATGCCAGAGGTCAAACATAATGTCTCTGATGGCTTTGAATGACTAACAATCCTCTGGCTTCCCTAACCAATGTTGCCTGCCTTGGTCATGATTTGAAGACGCACAGGAGAGCAATTAGCACAGACCATAATTGGAAATGAACTCTTAGCTGTGTGCTATGACATGCAGTTCAGTAACTCAGATGAATTCTCCTCTCCATTAGCTAGCCCAGCTCTGCTGACTTAAACATGAGGTGAACTACGGCCAGGACCAGGGGTGAAGAGCATGACCTGAGAAACCGGTAATAAGAGCTGGCAGGAGCTAGTTGGAGAAAGCATCAGCTGTTTTACGCCTTGGAGCTGTGTGCTGTGCCTTGGATTGTTACTGAATTTCACTTCAATTTCCTATGAATTTCAGCAGTACCCCTCCATAGCTGTTGTGGCAGCAATATACATCCTAAACTGCATTGAAGGGTAAGAGAGGAGGGGGTATAAGACCATGCAGGCTTATGCTTGGAAAGATAACCAGGGATTTTTGTCATATGGCCTCACAAGCTTCAGAATCCTGTGCTGTGCAGAAAGAACATCTTGCTTTTAAACTGCCCCAGAGTGCTGAAAATACCACACGTCTGTGATTTTGAGTTATCTGTAAAGTTTTCAGCCACAGTGCAGTAGGGCAAGGGGGAGCATGAGGAGATGAGGTTGTATCCTGCATCTATTTGGATGTTTTGTTTGTTTTTAAGCAGCTGCCCAGTGA